AAGATCCACTATAAACTAATAATACACTCATAGACCACCAGCAAAGTTGACAACACAAGTTTTCTGATCTCATCTCTGAAGTAAGAAGCAGCCATCTTGGAATGTGTACACGAACACCAAACTTGGCTCTTCTTTGTGAAGAAGTCCTCTTGGAATGAGCACATGAACTTCAATCATGACTCTCTACGCAGTTTATCTCACGTAGATCTTCCTAAAGAACTCTTGGTTCTTTAGATTCTCCCTTGATCTTTAATGCAGCACAGTTGACAACCCTGTTACAGCAGACCCAAGCGAGAAATGCAATCCAGTGTTTGATTTGGCTCTTTGATGTTTTCACAATGATTGACACATGAACAATGGAAGGATTGAACTTTGATTCATGTAATGCATGTATTCTCTTTGAATAATATAATATTCAATCTCTCATTCGTAGAAAGTACAGTGCCTCAATATATAGGTTGGATGAAATAAGTTGTATGGGCCAAGTAAAAATCTCGAAAATAGAAAATTAGGTATGGTCGAATAATACGTCGCTCGAGTGAGAAGGCTGATTCGCTCGAGCAAAGGGTCTGTTGCTCGAAGGACAGTGGGACAAAAGTCGAGCAAGGTAGTTTCTGTTCCATCCGCTCGAGAAGCACTCCGACGAGCAGCTAGAGAAAAATCGACGTTAATCCTTCTTGCTCCAAACATGGAACCCCAAACCCTAAACTAACCTATCAATCATGAAACTTTACAATTCAGTCTCTAATCTCTTATAAGTGTTCAAATTGGTCAATTTGTTCACAGAATTGCCAATACAAAATATAAACCTAACAATAACGATATAGTTGTCATTTTAAATGTAAAGAAACGATATCAAATTTGTTGTAGTTGTTATTTGAACTGTAATGATGTCAAACTCGTCAAATTTGCACTGAAACAATATGGATGTCATTATATTAGTTCGTGTGTTTGATACTATAACGATATAATTGTCGTTTCATGTGAAAAGAAACGACATATAGGTCATTGTAGTTATGATTTCAACTGAAATAAGTTCAAACTTGTCAAATTTGTTCTGAAACGATATGGACGTTGTTACGTTATTTCCTGGGTTTAACACTACAACGATAACATTGTCGTTTGATATGAAAGGAAATGACATGAGTGTCGTTTGGTTTTAGTTCTGAAACGATATGGATGTTGAAACGATATAAATGTCATTTTGAATGAAATGAAACGAGATCAAATTCGTAGTAGTTGTTATTTGAACTATAACGATCTTGAACTCGTCAAATTTACACTGAAACGATATGGATGTCGTTATGTTATTTCTTGTGCTTGACACTACAACGATATAATTGTCGTTTCAGTACAAAGAAACAACATCTGTATTATTTTAGTTACGATTTCAACGGAAGCGAGTTCAAACTCGTTAAATTTGTTCTGAAACGATATGATGTCATTACGTTATTTTGTGGATTTAACACTACGACGATATCATTGTCGTTTGATATGAAACGAAACGTCATAAGTGTTGTTTTAGTTATGATTTTATTTGAAACGATATGGATGTCTTTTTTAATGAAATGAAACGCTATTAATGTCGTTGTTGTTATTATTTGAATGAAAACGATTTCGAACTCGTCAAATTTGTAGTAAAACGATATTAATGTCGTTACGTTATTTCATGAGTTTGATACTACAAAGAAAAGGTCAGTGAAACAGTGTGTATTTCATGTTGAAACAATATATAAATCGTTTTATGTTTCAGGATTGATTTCAATATCTTCATGTTAATCAGTGCAACTTTCATATTGAAATAATATTTATATCGTTTTATGTCCCAGGAAAGATATCAATGTTGTTATGAAAATCAGTGAAGCAGTGTGTATTTGATGCCGAAGCGATATCTAAATCGTTTTCTGTTTCAGGAACGATTTCAATATCGTTATGTCAATCAGTATAATTTTCATACTGAAACAACTTCTATATCTTTTTATGTCTCAAGAACGATTTCACTATCATTTTTCGAATGGGTGCATTTTTGTACTGGAACGACATTTACATCAATTTGACGATGCAAACATCGTTTGCCTTTAATCTGGAAAAAAAAACATGGAATCATATAATGACTTTAATTTCATTCCAGTAGTACAAAAAGGTTTTAATGACACAATGACTACAAAATCTAACAACTCATTTTGTCAAGTTACAACAATATTACAACCTTAAGTTTCAACACCGGATGTTTGGCTTGTACGCCTCTGAGTTGTTTACCACCCAAGAGTTATATTTTGAACTGGAACGACATCAAAATCGTTTCATTTATGTTTTGAACTGGAACGAGTTCAATAACATCAAATTTGTATTGCAACGAACTCAATGTCGTTTTGTTATTTTGGCATTTTGATCTAGAATGATATCATTGTCTTTACATTTGAAAAGAAACGATATCACTGTCGTTGTAAATATGTTTCAGACGGGAGGAATTTCAATGACGATAAATTTGTAATGGAACGATGCCATGTCGTTATGTTTGGCCCTACAAGTGGAACGGGTATATGACCATTATTCTTGCACTCTGCATTCACGACATGTACAATTATTACCTTCAACAGTTCCAAGAAACCCAGTGCAATTTGTTTCATGAAAGAAGATATTCAACTTTGTGCCTTGAATAATGCTAAAATCAGAATTTATATCATCAACTACAGCAATAATTTCAGACTTGGGTGAGATTAATGTAAACAAATCTCCAACATTCATCATCCTTGGACTAGCAAGAGCAGTGGCATTTCTAGTCATGCCATAACCTCCATGGGCACCCACAAACAAGAAATGAATATAACAAGTACTTTCATTATATACATATGGCCTCAATTTCCAAGAATCCAAGGATATGAGCAATTGATTCTTCAAATAACTATATTTTCAAGAAATCAAGTACATATTAGCAGATTTATCATGACAAATAGGCTTTAAAAAAACCTATAATTTGATTGCAAGCAATCTAAGATTTTCAACACATAGGCTGCCGCCAACCAAAAAGAAACCCAAAATTGATTTTAGATTTCATGAAAGAGAGAAGATGATGACAAATAAGGGAGAAAATTTGAAATATCGACCTCCTACAATAGGGGTGAACGTGGTTCGGTTTGGGCGGTTTGTGCCATATTTTCAATATAAACCATGTCACGCGGTTTGGAATTTTTTCGAACCAAACCAAACCATAATTTGCGGGTTGGTTCAGTTTTAATCCGCAGTTTACCTATCGACATTATAATAATATTTTTAAAATAAGTTAACGTATAAGTTTAAACGAGAATCAATAATGTTAAATATTAAATTACATTCATCTTTCTCATGAAACCCGTGAATAAATTATTTTCAAAATTTGTTGCTAAAAGATTTAATAGAACGAATATATCATTCTTCCTTTTTTTTACCTTTTCTTGTTTGTCTTTCATATTATCATATAGTGGTTGGTAAAAATAGACTCACATTCTGGTATAATAGTTTTTTTAAAATTCATTTCGTACTATTAGTGAGATGAAAAACAAGGACTAAACATGATATGTTTAAATGTACAAAGAATGATAGAGTTTAAATTTATTAAAAATTGACAAATTTTATTCACTAATGACTTTACGAAAGTAGAATGTAGTAGTACTAGTTGAGGAACTTTAACATTTTCACACAATCAATACGCTTTATCCTTAGTTCTTTCTAAACGACAAATAAGTTCATTAATCACCTAAATACACAAATAATCATTTTTTAAAATTTAAATCACAACTCACAAGTGTATGATAAGTTAAAAAATAACAAATAAAAAAAAAGAAATAAAAAAATGACTTAAATGAAAATCTAAGATTTATAAAGAGAGAAGAGAGAAATGGTGATTCGGGTAGAAATTAACATATTAACAAGCAAAAGGCGACTAATGATTTGTGATTGGGAATCGCATTTTGTTCAACAGTAGCAGACTAGCGTCAAACGTTTAAAAAATGAAAGTTTAGGTAGCTTCTAAAGTTTTGGACGTGATTTGCTGTCGTAGTTTTGTTGTATCATGATTTGAGATTAATTTTAGTTTAGATTAGATATCGGGTCACGACGTGTGTTGTGGACTTATAATTTGTGGACTTATAAAACTATCGGCCAATAAGGATGAACTTAATTTACTTTGTATGATTATTTTAATGGGTTGATTGTAATTTGTATTGCTAAATTGTTATTTTTCTAAAAAAGTAAACACTTTAGAATTTGTAAGTTAATAAAATTAATTTTTTAATTAAAAGATTAAAAAAGGGTCATGTTCGGAATTAGGGCAATAATGTCATTTTGTATACAAGAATATTTTAATCATTTACAGTTGTATTTTTCATTTTTTGGTATCTTGGAGCCTTCTAACTAAAAAAATTGTTGTTGGACTTTTTAAACTAATAATTGATTTGACTAGACCTCTTAAATGAAACCCCCAAGAATATACGGTGTGGATTTGACAAAATCAAGGATCCCCGTGTTTTCTACTATGTTACCTATAGAAGAAACCACCCACTAATTTTTGCCTGTCAATTTCAATTCATAGTTCCAAAGTTCCAAACACCATTATAAAATGGCTATATAAGCTCTTGTTTTCATATTTGTGATTCTTAAATCTTAGTTCTAAATAGTATCATTCTTGAAAGAAGATAAGTTTCTTAGTATCGTCCATGTCAACTCAAAACTCAAGAAAGTGTACACCGTTAGAAGGGACTATCCGTCCGACCCATGATTCAGTACCTTTGCCGAATCTTCCTCAAGCAATGATCACAGAAATATTATCGAGACTACCCGTGAAATCCCTTCTGAAATTCAGGTGCGTTTCAAAGTCATGGCTATCTTTAATATCAAGTCCAAGATTCATCAAAACCCATTTCGAAATTTCAACTAATAACAATATATACTACCACAATAAACTAATTTTTACCTCCGATTCAGCTTTTCATATTCTCTACACTTGTTCTTTTTACCCTGAAATGGATGAAAATCCGATTATGGATACTTTTCCGATATATAATCCTTTATCTGAGCCAACGCGTTTAGTACGGATTGTGGGCTCTTGTAATGGGTTGGTTTGTGTAGTTTGGGAGCCAGGAATTGTTACTATTTTCAACCCAACTACGAGAAAATCCAGAAAATTACCCATTTCTGGTACGAGTAACAGTCTTGCCAGGGAGTACGGGTTTGGTTACGATGAATCCAATAATGATTACAAAGTTGTAGAATTCTCTTGGACAAATCTTATCTCCGATGAATTTGAAAATCAAGTTAAGGTATACAGTTCAAAAATCAATTCATGGAGAATTATTGATGGACCAGCCGGCTTCCTTTTTTCTGACTCCGGTGTATTTGTCAATGGAGCTATCCATTGGAAACTATACCCCAATGGTAATCCAATGGATTGGTCTATAATTGCATACAATGTGACAACCGATAGATACAAGATGGTAGCAAAACCCAAGTGCGAAACTGGCCTTGTGAATTCATTGCTAGTGGTTTCAGCTGGACAGCTTTGTGTGTCATGCCTATATTTTACACACCGGGATATTTGGGTGATGAAAGAATATGAAGTGGAAGAATCATGGACTAAATTGGTTAAAGTTCCAAACAATTTGGAACTCAAGATGCAGATTAACACGAGTCCTTTTTTTGTTTCAGAAAATGGTGGAGTGTTACTGAAGAATGGGTTTAGTATAGTGATGTACAAGCCATTGCAGTTTCATGAAATTCATCCCTTGAATGAATGTATTGAAATTGATACTAATGGCTATGTTTTTTATGTTGCTACCTACACTGAAAGCCTTGTCTTCCCTGATTTTGGACATTTTGATGGGAGCTAGCATCAAAATCTTAGGACAGCTACAATAACACGGGCCACTGTACTGTAATTAGGGTGAACAATAGGGCGGACACAAATAAAGTGAATTAGAGTGTATTATTTTTTACATCATTTCTTGTAATACAGCTTATTGAAGAATTTATAAGTAATACTTTTATGTTGTACTTGTTCAGTCGTATCAATAAAAATATGAAATATTTTATAAAAATAAGAGAAAATAACGAATAATATGAAAGAATTGAGAAATATTCTAAACTCTTACATGCAATTTATTGAGAATTAAAGCCCTACATTCGTAGGTCCATTTAAGGCTACAAGAATAGTCATTCACAAAATACAAGACTCCCTCTTGATGCCTCGTTAGAAGCCTTGTTTGGCGAAAATTTAATTGGATATATTTTACCAAACAATGGAGAAAGCGTACAACAAATTTGGAGTAATAAAACGTTGCCTTGTCAAAACATAGTAAAAAAGTAAAATCCAACATGGCAAAACTTGAGCAAAGGAAAAAGAGTATATCCATTCTTGATTTCACCTGATGAAAATTTATGTATTGAGCCATCCCTATTTTTTGTGCCAATCTATTCAATGCCACAATCCTGGTGAAATATTTTTTCATGTTATTATAATGTTATAGAATTTAGGGAATACCATCCTCATAAAATATAGTGAGGATTGCAGTCATAGTACCAATCCTTTCATTTTGTCTCAGACTTGACTCATATCTTTTGTTTGTGCCATCGACAGTACCAAATCTTTCAAAAATTTGCACTTGAATTCCAAATGGATGGAATCATTAGTTGACTATAAAACGTTTTTTGACCTATTTTGACTTATTCTAAAGGGGTAACTTTAAATTTTCCATATAATAATAATAATAATAATAAAGAAATAAAAGCAAAATAGTTTATCGTCTTCGTAAACCTAAAACCCTAGCCCCTACTCAACTCCCACCTGGAGGTGTCAAGACGGACGGGCCGGACATACCCGTGAAAATCGGCTCAGATCGACCCGAGACCGTGGGCCGACCCGTGACCAAAACGGGCGGTTCACGGGTCAAAGAGGTGTGACCTGCGGGCTTCATGGGTTAAACCTTCACGGGCCGCTGTTAACCCGTGAAAAAAAAAATTTTAAAAATTTTGAAAAAAAAAAGGGAGAGAGTCAACCTAGTTGGGATGTACTTAAACTATAAAGTATAATAAAGTAGGTGCCAACCTAGTTGGGATGTACTTATACTATAAATATTTGATAATAGTAATTAGAAATACATTTAGTTGTTATATGTTTAAATAAAATTTAACTTTACAAAGTTATAAATAATTCATGTAACATTAAATTTAAATTCTATNGCGACCCGTGACCCACATGGGTTCGACCCGGATGGGTCAGCGGGCGGGCATGGGCTGTAGTCCAAAATTTGTGGGTCGACCAGAACCGGCCTGGAACCCATAGAGGGCGGACTTTTTTCACGTGGGCCGTTACCGGGCTCATATGTTGGCGGGCTGACCCGGCCCGGACCACCCGGATCAACACCTCTACTCCCACCACCCAAAATCACCAATCGTTTCCACCAAAACCGTCGACACCACCACCACTCCTTCTGGCCAAATCTAGTTAGCTACCCTCCAGTCATCCACCCTCCACCTGATCACAACAACATAACCTTTGTCAAAGTTGTCCATTCGCACACAACCGAAACCACTGCCTCACCATTGGCACCACCGCATACAAACCTGAAACTACCATTAGAGGGTGCAGAGGAAGAATACAATCAACTCCATTTCAACGCAAATCCACATCTTTTTGTTCTTCAATTTCTCCTTCACCAATTAACAAATTATTTAGATCGATACATTTCAAGCAAATCCATTATTATGTGTAAAATTTATCTCTATTACGAATTTAAGCACAAACTCAAACTAATTAACCAATTATTTTGAAGAACTTGCAATTCGAGCTTCTTGATTAACTTCAAGAAATTGAAAGAATGCAAGCGATTGTTTCTTAGCTGAAATCTTGGAGTTGGAGCCGTAACAGCAATAGTAGGTAATTGAAATTAAGAGGTTCGACCTAAATTACACCTAGATGGGATGAATAGGTGATTGTGCGAAATTAAAAAACTAATAATTAAATAACAGTAAGTCACTTTTAATTATCTCTAGATGGTTGATCAATCAATTCAATTTTTCTATGTTGAACGACAGTTATATGAAAAGAGTAAATAACACATAGAATGATCACGAAGAAACCCCAACTGGTAAAAATGTCGGGCAATTTGCATGTCAAAAATCCACTATAAACGAATTTAAACTTACAGTCTGTCAAACACGACTACCACTAATACTTTCTGATCTCTTTTATTTTTTATTTTTTGATATTTTTATTTAATTATTATAATTTTATATGTGGAATAATAAAAAGAACCGTTTCACCCCTTTTAAATTGGTCAAAAGATGTAATTTTGTTGGTCAATGAACAGTTAAATGGATGGTTCCATGTGTGGATTTCTGAAAGGTATTGTATCGTGGGTGGCACAAATAAAAAGTTTGGATCAAGTTTGAGACAAAATGAAAGGTTTTATACCATGGCTACAATTTTCTCCAAAATATATTTATAATCCTTAGATATTGTAGTCATCTTGATGGTTCGATGATAAACATATCTTATTATTGTTCTCTTCAAGAGTATCATATAACATATGTAACTTATGAGAGTATTACATCGAGGATAAATGTCTTGTAGGCTATCGATATTCATTACACCAAAAAATATATGTCATTCAAATCTTAATATGAAAAATTTTGAGAAAAAAAAATTATAGTGAAGGGAAAAAGGTAGCATCATTTTTTTGAATATGTTATAAAAGTTGTCTCATTAAAAACTTGCTAGAAAACCCAATAGAATAAAATCTTGGTCAAGAAAAAAGAGTACAATGCCTATTAACTTTTGCTCGTAATATACCACTTGAGATATTTATATAATATTTATCAACTTCTCAAAGTATTACAGTAGATAATATCTTTGTGAATATATCTGCCACAATATGGCCACATGAATAGATAAACTAGTTGATGAGATTTATGTGGATCAAATAATGCATTGCATCATCATAACCAACTAGTCACGAATCATGAACTATTAGAAATATAAGATGATGCATTTGTTGCACTTAGATATGGTACTTCAAAATCAATAAATTATTATTTATCATGTTGAAGACAAAAAATCTCATGTTTTTCACTTGAAGTAAGCAAATAACAATATGTAAGCTGACGGGTTAACAAGAATTCAGTTGATTAAATACTTGATTAGTATGTCGAGGTAAAATTTTATTTTTTTTCCAAGATTTTTATGATAAATTCCTTTTTTAAGTAATCAATAGCGTTTGAAAGCTCTTTAGAAGTTCCAACAATATTTAATTCATCAAAAATAGTAATTGTAAATCAACAAAATGATTTTTGTTTTAGAAACACATGGGCATATATGGTCATTCTTGTACGAATTTCAACAAATATTCATTAAGTTGATTATACAATATATTGCAAAGCATCTCTTTACTTGATCAAAGCAAGTTTCTCGAAAACTTGAACTATATGCTCCGTGCTTCTTAAATCCTTTAGGTATTTTGTATAGATGATATTATCATAATGTCATATAAGATATTTATAACCATATTTATTAGACACATATCAAGTTTTATGCATTGTCCATGTTGACATGATATTGACTTGTAGTTGCATCCACCACAATATTATTTATTTATTTATTTATTTATTCAAGTATTTACGAAAGCGATTATGCTAAGAGTTGTTTATTATATATTATGATTTCATTGTGCTCACTTCTTTTAGCTTAAGTACTGTTGGTGTAAATCCCGCTCCTCACCCATGAAATGAATGAATGTCATGTAGATGGTCAAAAGCCTCAAAGTGCAATCGAAACAATTAAATAGTTGCATCATATGAAAACCATAGAGTTTATGATTTGAGTAACAAACTCGAAATTCATGTAGCTCGTCACACAAACTCCAGGTCTCTTTCATATTTTTTTGCTTTTAAATTTCATTCAAAAATTGCATTCTGAATAAGGGGCATATCAATTAAATGATTTGGAGATTCTCACTGGAGGCAGAACTTAGAAATTATTAGTAACTTTGATATTTGAAGGAAGATTGAAACACATATTATTGAACAATTGAAGAGGAAAACGAGCTCAATTGTATTTTTTAAAAAGTGATAGTACATTACACTACATGTGATATAAATAGGAAAATGAGAACAACAAAATAAATCTAATTATACAAGCCAATACAAGATGAACACACCAACTAATCTAACTAACAGCTGGCTCTAATTGGTATGCAATGGCGATGCTGCAGTAGCTAATCATCCGGTAGTGATGTAGCTGCCTTGATAATATGTTACTCCCCCTCAAGATGGAATATGAGAATTGATAACAACCATCTTGGATAATAAAGGAAACAATAGGGAGGTAGGTAAAGCTTTTGTAAAAATATTAGTTAACTGATGATGAGTATGAACATGCCATCAGTCACCTTTCTCACGAACAAAACGACAATCGATCTCTATGTACTCAGTACATTCGTGAAAGATAGGATTTGAAGCAATGTGAATCACTGCTTGATTTCACAAAATATTAAGTCAGGGTTATTAGTTAAAACCTAAAAATCATAAAGCAATTGAGTAAGTCAAACTAGTTCACTAACAGTAGAAGCTAACGCACGGTATTCGACTTCAGTTGAAGATCTGGATATATATAGTTTGCTTCTCGGCTTTCCAAGAAACTAAATAGTCTCCAAGAAAAACACAAAACTGGTGACCAATTTCCTTGAATCAAGAAAAGATCCTCAATCCATATCTGCAAAGGCTCTCAACTGGAATGAAGATTGTGTAGAAAATAGAATTTCTTGACCTAGGGTAGCTTTTATATATTGCAAAAGATGATGGAATGCATCTAAATGAAGCTGCCTGGGTTGTGACA